GTCTGAAATCTACCTCTTTGTTGGTGGAAAAGGAAGGACATGTGAATGGTGTCACCTTTACCTCTGAATAGCATCGATTTGGTGCCATGAGTGAAATGTAACCAAGCATACCGGGGCTCTGCCTCTTAGTGCCTTGACATATGACCTGACAATTAGTGTTAAAAGAAACAGGTTTTTATTAACAGGGTTCCAACCTGGGGGTGGGGTGTGATGCGAGGGCACTCCTGCTCAGAGCCCTCCTTTCCCACAAGACCCAGAGGCTCCCTTGCTTCCCAAAAGGCTACAAGTCAAAACCATGCCCAGAAGTTCCCCATTGCCTTATCCGTCCATCTCCCAGTCACACAAACAGGTCTCCATCCCCTCTGGAATGTGCGCTTGTGGGTTTCACAGTCACCATCCTCTCACAGTTCTCTCCTTCAGGATCTTGGGTGCACTGTTCTCAGCCTCCATGTAGTGGAGTGGAGTGTTCAGGAAAACATGTGCTGTGTTACACCGCATCGTGGTGGGGTCCAGGGAGGCACACATGCCAAGAGAATGGCTTTTTTTGTACGTCCTTAAGAGAAGCAAAAGTACCTCCTCTCTCCCTACAGACTGCATGGCTTCTCCCCTTTTCTCCTTCAGCCCACCCTCATTTTAATGGTTGGCCTGGAATTTCCTGCGCAACCTCATATCCAGCCCCTTCTGTGATGTGTTAGTGTCTGCCATTTTTGCCAGTGCCTCCATATATTTTACCTTCTTTTGGCTGCCTCCCTTAGTCAGGGCGAAAGTTCCCAGTGACTCACAGATATCCGGGGTAGGCATCCTCCCCCCTGCTTCTCACTCAGGCACAATATAACCTTCCCTCCAGACCCCGCTGTGTCATGAATCTCTGAGTGGTTTCACAGTCACATATACAATTTGCCCTGTTCTTCCCTTCCGGAAGTCTTGGCGATAAACTTGCCATTGTATCTTAAAGATGCAAAGTATCTTAACCGCTGCACCATCTACTCTTTCCTTTCCCCAATCAAGAAATATGGGGGTTTTCTCCTATTTTCAGGGACCCTCCCTCTGCATCCCGTTACATGAATCTGACTTTGGTTGTGTGAGTCTACAATATCGATGAAGCAGTATGGCACGTCGAAGGTTAACTGAGTGATTCTAATGCCTTTAGGATAATATTACAGATATACAGATCCTGGGCCTAGAGTTTTCAAAGGATGAGATTCAAAGTAATATTATATTAATGGTTGTGTGAGTCCCTGATGTTCTAACCCACCTCTTTCCTCCCTCTTCATGCTTTTTTTGAATTTGTGAACAAAAAAGGGGGTATGTGGTAAACCTGACAAGTCCAGGGGGCTACATGGCAGGCCTGACAAGCTCAGTGACCAAAAATAACCACACAGGATGGTCTGATCACAATCTGCTACCTAGTTAAACCATAGTGGGTAGTCACATAATGGTAGTCACATCCCATTATGTGACTACCCACAGAACTCTAGCTTCCTTAGCAAAGGTCAGTCTTCACCTGTGTGAGCCCTGTCCACAGTTCCTATGCATCTAAGATAATATACTTTTGAAATATTAGAGTAATTTTCTTTCCCAGGCCCCTCAAAGGTACAACTGCAGGCACCAGAGCCTGAGACCACAGAACCCCTCATTGTCATCTTGTTGCCTACACACCATCTCTATGTGCTGAAAATGTTAACTATTCTGTACTCACTAATGCGTAAAAGAAGTATTTGATTCTCCATTTTGCTTTTTGCCCAATCTTAAAGATTTTCCTGCTTTTATCCCTCCACGCCGCCCCCCCCCCCTTTATTCTACCGCTAAGGGATTTCAGGTTACCCTCCTCACAACTTCTCCTTTGATTCTAAATGTATAAAAGGAACTGCAAAACTGCCATTCTCCAGAGCACTTTCTCAATCCACTGAGATCGTGCTTTTCGGCATTTCCTTGGTGCTAATAAATTCTTGTAAAACTTTTCTATAGGTTTGAATGTTCTTTTTTGACAAATTCATGGGACTTGGTGGCTGAGGTCTATACGCTGAAAGTGAGACAGTGACAGTGATAGAGACTGTAGTCAAAGCCTTAAAGGAACCTCAAGGTCACTTTCTCTCCCAGGACACAAGACCTGGGAAAAAAGAGAAAGAAGAGCCTAAACTATGCCTTTAAGCAGAGAAATCTCACCCATTAGTGAAATGTGTTCCAGTGATGGTCATGGGCTTTGGCCAATCAAGTAAAAGCTTCTCTTTTGAGATGGTTGTGGTGGGGTTAGCATGGGAACTGGGTTGAAGTGTATCCCCTACTCTAAAAAGTGTAGTGGTTAAGACTGTGATCCCAGGGAGCACAGCTCTACTACCTACTAGCTCCACGGCTTTGGACAAGTTATTTTACCTCACTCCTCAGCACCTTCATCCATGAAACGTGGGCAAGTGCAGCAGGGATGAGAATTAACTGAGATAAGGTATGCACGCAATTCAGTAAATGTTTTTGTTGTTTTGAGTTCTGTCTCCTAGCCATAGGCTCCTTCATGTTAGCTAGAACCTGAGGAAGCCTTGAAATGCTGGCAGAGGAATATGAAGAGAATAATTCATAGAACAAGATATGACAATATTCTGCCAATTTTTCCTCTTAAAAATTTACCACTTGTCCAAATGCCCTGATTCCATGTTTTTTATTTTCCAGTTTCATACCCTCAGATGGTCCCAGTGAGCTGGAATCTTGGATGAGGTAGCTGGGACACCACTGGATAAGATTTGGCTCTCAAATATGATTTTTGCTGGGTGTGGCTGTGATTTTTGTGTAAATATTTGCTCAAACTTAACTGTTATTCAGTGGAAACTCTTCCTAATTAGTTGTTTTCTCACTTGGCTTCTTGCGGGACAGAAAATTTAAGAAGACAGATTCTTTTATTCAAATGCAATATGGCTGTACTCACCCACTCAAATCTGAGCTGAATGCTTCCTCCCGCCCTCATCTTTACAGAGTTTGTTTTCACTGTGTGCCTCACATATACCAATGAAAAATAGTTCATAGTGAGTATTGCCTAGGTGTAGAATTCAGTTCTTGTTAGTGTAAAGAATTGGGCTCTTGTCAATGGGCAAAAGTAGCATTGGGAGGCTACATGACATGCTTATAAACTGATTTATTCTTAATTTTTACCCACATAATGTTTCTTTTGAAACCAGTTGGCAGTGTAGAAGGCTTAGCACAGCAAAAGCATGGATAATTCTGAAATGCAGTTAGTTAACAAGTCACTTTACCTGTGTTATAGCATGAAGTCAGCAATACACTCTTTGGTGATTTCTCTTTCTCTCCCCTCAACGCCCCCTCCCCCCTTTCTTTCCCGACACCTACTGTCATCCTTTCCTGGCTAAGCCTAGAAGGAAAACTTGATTGAAGTGAAAGGCACCATCCAGGAAATTACAATATCCATGTTCTAGGTCCAGCTCTGCCATCTACTCACTTAGTGGTAGTCATCCTTCTGGATCTCAGCTTCCTTATGTATAAAATAAGCAGGAGGTTGCAGTTAAGGCACCTGGAATGAAAGAAGCTCTAAAGTCTCTGGATTCCCCCTTTGCCAGCTTAGGGCCTGGTAGGTCTCAGCAGCTGTAACCTGGACAATCCCCAAAGCAGGTAATTGCCTGCAGGATAATAAAATGGACTCTACTCACAGCAGTCTGGCCACACTCAAATAGATGCTGGTGCCTTTGGCTGCTTTTTGGAGTCATCAGCCAACAGAGAGATGAAGCTGGCTGGAAAAAAGCATGAAAGTGTTGGAAAGGCTAGCGTAGTGTCATCTCCAAATGCAGCATCTGGGGGTACCCATGTCTCCAGAAAGAAGTTACTGAAACCCTTCAGCTGGAGGCGCAGTGCAAAGAGTCAGGCACACCAGGTTTTGAATCTTGACTCTTGTCACTTATGTGTGACCTTGGACAAGCTCTCTGGCCAAGTGTCATTTTTTCCTCCATGGAAAGAGAGTAGCAATATATGTATCTTGCAAACCGTGTAAGGATTGAGGTATTGCAGAGGCCTAACAGTACCTAACCTACTGATTACAGGTACTCAGAGGGACTTGGTAAATGGTAGTGGTAGCGGGTGTTATTATTACCCCGTGCCCTTTATGCACAAGGACTCTCCGTGGTCAGTGGGCCCCAGCGTCTGGCCCAGGGATCCTCCCCGCGGCTGGGAGGCACTGACTGGCTCCATGCCCAGGCCCAAGCTCCTGGCACAGAGACGTTGCTGATTTCAATGCTGATTACATTCCCTGCTTGAGGAGCCTCAGCATCCTGGCCCAGAGCAGGAGGGTCGACATTTAGCACAATTTGGTAGAGGTTGATGAAGTTATTTTTCGAAACCGCCCCTTTCGAGGTCTTGTCCCCTTTCCTCACCTCTCTCTGGTCCGTTCTCTCTGGATCCCTGTCAGAAAAGGGACACAAAAAAGTAGTGCAGGGCTCCCCTTCTTCCCCGTTCGGTTGAGAAAGTGACAGGGGCTGGCACAAGCAGCTTTCCTTGCAGAAGGCGCGGCTAACACAGTCCTGGCCACTCAAGGTGTCTCCAGCCCCATTCTAGAAGCTAAGGTCTCCACGCGCCTGGCTGAGCCCTGTTTTCTTTTTCTTTCCTTCTTTTTCTTTTTTGTTGTTTATTTGTTTGCCTGTGTTTCGCAAAGCCGGGCTCACAACACAAACCTGCCTCTTCATGCTTTTCCGCACAGTTCGCAAGCGCTTCGCGGGTCAGCTAGATGAAGCGGCACTTACTTCAGTGTATTTTTCCATCTCCCTGTGTCCACCAGGTGAAATAAAATAAAACAAAGTAAATTGCCAGCCCAGGATTACACTGTCGTTATTTTTCAAAAGCAGCTAGGAGTCACATGATTGCGAGTAACTGATTTAGTGAAGCGGTTGCAAGTCGGGGTTTGCTGCAGAGCCGCCCCTCCCGCCGGGGGCGCTGACGTCACGGAAAAGCCCCGCGCGGGCGGGCCGGCTATAAACGCCGAGCGGCGCGGCCGCGGGCCCGAAGCGGACGGCGGCTCCGCGAGAGTACCCACTGCTCTGCGGCGGGGGATCGTGGCGCGCACCCGCGCTTGGACGCACAGATACGCGGATGCCCACCTGGCCGAGCCAGGTAAGGGTCGCTCTGGAGGGGCCCTCCCGCCAGCGCCGCGGGGGAGTGATTGGGACGGGAGTGGGCGTTCCCAGCCCCAAAACTTTCTAAGTTGAGATCGGAGCCCCTGGAACGTGCTTTTGGCTCTGTGGCAGGCAGAGTCAGACTTCAAGGTGTAAAGGAAGCCATTTGTTTTCAGCAGGTTCTTTAGTTCAATGCTATAGGAGGGTCACCTCCTCCTAGAGGGCAGCCCTCAGTGATACTTCATGCTTTTGTTGTTTAGATGAAAGTGTGCCAACTGAGGTGCTGCTTGTAAGATGAAAAAATCGGACCGGTCATCTTGGCTAGAGGTCGACGTGTTTGGGTGCGGAGTGTGGGGAGAGTGTGCGAGGGGGAGTGTCTGTGCTCTTCTTACTTTCGTCAGTGGATTAGCTGATTAAAATGAAAATGCTTCTACTCTGTCTCCAGTAGGCTGGCAGAACAGACCTCTGTACCACGGGAGGGAGGGAGTCTTGCGAAGGGAAAGCTGTTGTCAAGTTGTTGAATGTCTTTTAGGAGAGCCTTTGGCCTTCTGGTCTGCTCCAACGTGGAAATCTGAGTTGAATTAAGGAATTCTGGGAGAGGACATGGTTTAATGAGAGTGAAGCATTTTCTCTGCAAATTTGATAGGTCTGAGCGTGAGCAGGTCATTTCCCTGCCAGGATGACAGGGCTTGAGGCTGGGATTTTTAAACAGTGATCTCTTTGGGCAAGAGGGCAGAGCTGAGGCATAAACCTCAAACAGATTCTTTATTGCCCCCAAATAATAGATTATTTGGGCAGTTGGAGAGCTTTAGGGCAACTTGACTAAACATGGAAGTTCCAATCAGTGCTTGTCAAGTCCAGCCAGGGGGAGTGATGTCATTGCCACGTGTTTCCCACCAAGGCACAAAAGCCTGCTGGACGCTAGCGCAACTAGAGCCATGTTTAGACAAGAGCAGCTAACCTGGCCCACTGGTTCGCAGCAGCATTAGCTCGTGGATTTTCAGGCCGTTCCTGGAGGCTGTGGATCCTCCTTGCTGCCTCTGTGCCAGCTCTGAGTGGGGGTCCCAAGGCTTCCTGGAGGATGGAGGAAGCTCCAGGGCAGTGGGCAATGCTAACGGTACTTTTTTCTTTTTGCAAATGAAAGTCTTTTTGAGGAGCTAGTTACGTGTGTGTGTGTCCAGTTGAAAGCCTGTTGGATTTGGGGACTGTTTCATTGGTGTTCCTTATGTTAGGACTACTTGGATCTCATCCCATTTAAAAGAATATCAGATGACTGTGTGTTTGAGAGCCCTGAGGTCTTGCTCATGCTTACTACTGCTAACATTTTGGCCATTTTGCTCTCCAGGACCCAACAATGACTCTGAATAATGTCACCATGCGCCAGGGCACTGTGGGCATGCAGCCCCAGCAGCAGCGCTGGAGTATCCCAGCGGACGGCAGGCATCTGATGGTCCAGAAGGAGCCCTACCAGTACAGCCAGTGCCACCATCACCCTGCTGCCCCTGAGGACCACTGCCGCCGGAGTTGGTCCTCCGACTCCACAGACTCAGTCATCTCCTCCGAGTCGGGGAACGCCTACTACCGGGTGGTGCTCATAGGGGAGCAGGGGGTGGGCAAGTCCACTCTGGCTAACATCTTTGCGGGCGTGCATGACAGCATGGACAGTGACTGCGAGGTGCTGGGAGGTAGGTGGCTCAGCCCCAGCGGGCTTTTGTCCATCAGCAGTGGTCCAGGCAGAAAGAGCAAGTGGGTGGGTACTTTATCTGCAGAGCTGACAACTGCGATTGTGCATTCTCGGCGCTGGCTGGGGAGCTGAGTCCCCAGAAGAGTCCTGGCACAGGCCTGTGGGACAATAAAATAAAAATGCTTACAGGTAAAACTCTGGGCCAGAAGGGGAATTTCTTAGATTCCGGCTCTAAAGGGACCGGGGGCACTGATTAAAGAGGGCAGAGTGAGAGGGCGGGGCTCCCACGTCTGGCTTTTGCCAACTCTGCCCTGGACTTTTCAAGAGCAAAGTGTAGATGTGGCTTTTCCCCATGGTTATTCCTAAAATCAAACTGATTTGTAAAATGGACACATCTGTTCATTTCCACCGATGTCAGAGTTTTTTGAGGGTGTTTTAAGTCTGCATTTGAAATAGTACAGTATTTTTAAAAGTTTTTTGAATGACAATAATGATACATATGTTACAGAGTTTTACAGTTTTTCAAGACAATTTTCCCTGTACAGTCTCATTTAAAATATTTATTATTTCAACCCTGCCTAATTCCAGAACTGATTTGAGGTGACATAGTCTCCAAAGTGCATGTATGCCTCAAGGATGCGTAATGTGTAGCGCTATATTTTGGGAAGTGATAGTAAGATCCTAATTGTCACTGGAATTCACACTGTGTCTTTCAGCCATGACTTCTGTCTTAGCACACTTGACCAGGGTGGGTGTATGTCCCTATTCGCGTACATGACCCAGGGTGGTTGCATATCCCTCTTTGCAGCTGTAGAAATGAAAAACGAGTCTTCCAGGGCTTGCCCAGATGGCATGGTCTTTCTGTACTCTCAGATGCGACTCACAGCGGAATCACTCAGGTCTGCCCTGTACTTGTTGCCTAGGAATCTTGCTCCATCCTTAGTACTGTCTCCCCGCTTCCATTAACTGTTTATTATCCTTGATTGTCTCCAGTGTCAGGGAACTCCCTGCTTCATAAGGCAAGCTCCTGAACTGGGCTATAAATGATGACTCATTAGAATGTTGATTTCACATGCTGGAATCTCAGGGACTATAGATAAAAGAGTCAAGGAAGGAATAGGATCAGCATTGTACGCTTGCTTTTCTCTTTCTTTGTGAAGGCTGGTGGATGACTGCGGCCATAGGAGAAAGGGAGGAACTAACAACCTAGGGTGCACATTTGCAGTGGGAGAGGCACTTTATTGGGGTGTTTATATCTGCTACTATTTATTTTGGCCCTCACAAAATTTTGTACTCACGTAAGTAAACCGAGTCTCCGGGGCACCAAGTGGGTTAGCTGGGATTAGAACTGGGGTTTTATAATCTTAGTTTGGTGGTGTTCTCATTCTTCCATTGATGGGGGACCTATGTGCCAGGCACTGTGTGCTAAGTACTTCTCATAAGTATTTTTGATAATGTTTATAAAATTGAACCAATTTGCTACTTATTATCCCTATTTTACAGGTGAAGAAATGGAAGCTTAGGAATTCAGGTGGCCTTCCCAGGGTGAAAAAGCTAGTCCATGGTATGGTCAGGATTCAAACCTAGTTGTTGTTGAACCCAAATCCTATGTCCCTTCACTGTTCCCTGCAGCCCTGGATTTAGTGTCCAAATGCTATTAAGTACGACAGCATTTTGGACTGGGTTCGGCCACAAGTCTGGCTCTGTCTGAAGCTCTGTGGTGAATAATGTACAACATACCTTCTTAGGAAGCCACTAAATGGCAGTGGCTATAATTCAGAGCAGGAAATTATAATTATAATTTGAATTATAATTCAAATTCATGAATACTTTAAAAAGTAACAATTAAGTGCTTTGGGGATTGACATAAGGAAGAGATCAACTGAAAATTTTTGTTTTTGTTTTTTTTTTAAGAGGGAGAAATTGCAGAAGTTAGTGGATAGCAGACTTTCAAAAATGTTTGTTAATCACATTGGAATGGTATTTACGTGGAGGGTAGTATCACAGGCATCATAGAAGGTTAAGAAGACCAACTCGTACCTGGCCTTTGGAAGGCAGACTTCTGTATTTGGGAAACCTCTTTGTTTCATGGAGGGAAGGGATGGAAGACTCCCTTCCTTATCTGTTCAAATAGAGAATCTTTTTTTTAATCCTTTTTATTGGGGTGACACTGATTAACAAAATTATACAGGTTTCAGGTGCACAATTCCACAACATATCATTTGTACACTGTATTGTGTGTTCACCACCCCAAGTCAAGCCTCATTCCATCACCATTTAGCCCCCCATACTCTCCTCCACACCCCCCACTCCCTGCCCCCTGGCACACTGTACAGTGTTGTCCAAGTTCACACGTTCTTTTTTTTTCTCTCCAAGCAGAGAATCTTTGACAAGAAGCTTCTCTGGTGACCTATCTAAATGTGTCCTATTTAAGTAACTTAATTTATACCATATATGATTACATCCCTTATCTGTAGATGGCATTGGAATCACTAGTTGGCTTTATGTTTCCCAAGAGGAGGATGTTGCAAGGCACACATCTACACTGTCCTTTTTTCCACATTAACCTTAAGAAAAAAATCTATACAATACTCTCATCACTGTTTCTCCTAATAAAGATGGATGTTGGACAAATATATTGCAATAATCTTATAACTGTGTACACATTTAATGCCATTCACTTATTTATCTATTTGTTCATTTCCAGTTACTGAACATATACCTTGGAACTTGGTGAAGCACTTTGGTTCACGTAGGGTCATGGGGCTTCTTCCCTAATGATGCTTACAGTTTATGCAATGGAGACCATACAGTTTATGCAATGGAGACATACCAACTATAACTCAAGATGGGGTGTGATAAGAGTCTTGAAAGAGGTACAAGGACAATACCGTGGGAGTTCAGAGGAAAAAGGGTTACATCTGGTTGTGGAAATCAGAGAAGGGTTCATGGAAGAGGTGGTCTCTGAGGTGGATCCTAAAAACAACTAGGATGTGGAAGTTTTTAGATAGGTGAGGAAGCACAGCACACGCACACAGGAAGTACCTGAATGAACACTGGACCCCCAGGCTGATGATGTGGGCTTGGATCCCAGCTCCCACTGTGAATTAGCCAGGTGCTCTTGGATAAGATATGCTCCTTAAGCTTTCTCATTCGTAAATAGGGATGATACCTACTGCATAGGTACTAAGACGATTAAAGGAGATAACATCTTAAGCATGTAGCGTAGTGCCTGGCACATAGCAAGTATGAAATAAACATTAGTTAGAGCTGATTCTGAATCTACCATTTCCTTTCCCTGGGCCTATCTTCCAAAACTTCCATTGCTTGTAATCCCTGTCCACTTTGGTCACTCTTAGCTGGGGCCTGTGAGACACAGGAGACATGAGCCTCTAAAGGAGAGCACAGTATTCTTAGAGTAGGTGTTCCCTCCAGGGTTCCTTGGGAAACCTTGGGCTGTGAAAGCTAAAAGCAGTTGGGAGTTTTGGGGACGAGGAATGTGGAGCCTCAGAACCTTTGGGGGCTGCAGGGTCTGATTTGAGAACTGTGTACCTGCCACAGAGAGCACCCGAGCCAGTCTTGGGCAGGAAGGTCCTCCAAGTGCAATGGGGGTCACGTGAGGAAAGACAAATCGAGATGCACCAGCCCAAGGAAAGTGGCTATTGACCACAATCGCCCAATTGTAGAAACTCCATCCCACCCCATCCGTTTGACCTCTCTCGACACATACAGTGTGAGTGCATACGCTCAGCTTCCACGGAAAGCACTGGAGAAATGAGAATGTCCCCAATCTAGGTTAGTGAAAAGCCTTGGGTGCCAATGGGCTTCAGCCCTTTCTCTACACACCTTAACCCATGGCAAATTTCAAAGGACTCTTCTAGAATTTCATATTCTTTTATTTTCCTTCTTTTCACCTGATTAGCAGTTGAAAAAGCTAAAAGGTGAGTGACTAAGGGAGGAAAAGAAACCAGAGCTTGGCAGGTCAGCAAGAAGGCTGTCAAGCAGGATGCTTTGTGTGTTTGAAGACTCCTTGAGGTGCGTAGCTGGAGGCAGTGTTTAACCCCCTGCGTGGGGTATGTGCACAAAGCAGGGTGGAGATGTATCCTTTTAGGCTCCAGAGTTTCCAACACAATGATTTTCCAGCAGTGGGAAGTCCGGACAGAATGCTCCTGTCAGGAACCTTCCAGAATAGCAAAGCAGTTTGGCTCTACTTTTACAGGTGTAATCCTTAGTCCATTTTTTCCTCAGCTTGCTCTGATATCTCTTAAACCAAGAGGTGGTTTGTGTGCCTTTTCCTTTAGCTGTTGGAATACAGTATCTTTTTATGTCAACTGCTAGGGATTCAAGCAGGTGCCTTGTACCTGCTTTTGAGTGGTGGGCTGAAGGCAGAGAAAGTGCTTTGTGAGTTTCCTGGGTGCAGGGAGAGGTTTTAGAAAAAGCACTCCTCCACCCTGTCCGTGCTGCTCAGGCTCTGAGTTATACAGCCATTTGGTTATGTAGGTTTGCCTGTTGAGGTCATGGGGTCTACTCCCCAGGAAGGCGGTCCCATGCGTGCTGACTCTTGTGGGAAGCAAACGTGATGGGCGATGGTCGTAACCGATGTGTAATGCCCCAGTGAGAAACAGTTAACCGCTGGCTGGGGAATGGCACCTAAAGGAGGTGGGGAAGCTGACAGAAGCTAGTTAACTTTCTTCTCATTTGTCCACGTTTTCCTTTCTCTCCCTTTCCTGATTCTAGTTCCTAGATGAAGAAACATTAAACTGGGAACATTGCATTTGAGAACCCCTCACTATAATTAAAAAAAAAAATAAGAAATGTCCTGGTTCCCCCACTGTAGTGCTTTTAAGGTAGGACTTACCTACAGCAGGAGTGTGGCAAGAGCCAACTGTTGGCATCTGAAAAAGTGGTGATAACAGTAACATGTATTGCATTTCTACTTTGTACGCAGTTGTCACTCAGGTGTGGGTACTTTTATCAGTCCTGTTTCACAGCTGAAGGTCTAGAGAGTTTACGTGGTCCAGAACGGCATAGCTAATAGGGGATGGCACTCAGATTCTAATTTAGGTTTGCCTGTGCTCACAACCACAATGCTATGTTTATGATTCATCCATTCATTTGATAAGTATTTACTGAGCACCTGCAATATCCCGGGCACTGTCCTGCGTGTTGGGGATTATAGCAGTAAACAACACAGATGCCAATCTGTGCCTTAACACTCTGGGAGAGAGAGGGACATAAAACAATAAAATAAATTAAATGGATTGCATGTTAAATAGAAGTTAAGTGAAATGTTATTGCATGCACAATAACAAAAATAAAACTGGGGAGTAAGGAATATTAGGAGGGAAGAGGTTTTGCAATTTTCAGCAGATGGTCAGGGAACGCCCCATCCAGAAGGAGGTAAGGGAACAAGTCTTTTGGATATTTGAGGGAACAGTTTCCAGGGAAAAGGAACAGCAAGAAATATGAAAAAAAAAATCATTACAAAAATTGCAAGTTTCAAACAATGTAATTCAAAATAGGAAACCTCATTGTGAAAATAGAGTGGATGGGCTCAGTTTTGGAGTTGATGGGTATCTTGCAAAAATTCAGTTAACGCAATTCCCCGCCCCACTGGGCTTTCTGGGCTAGAGCTGCTCTGGCCCATGGTACTGTGTTCACCCTTTGGGCTCAGTCTGGGCTTAAGTGTAGAAAGGAAAGTTTCCATTACCAAGTAGAGCTGGAGGTTGTGCTGTACTTAGAAAAACAAGCCTGTTTATTCCAAGGGAACAATATTCTTTTAAGGAGGAAAAACTTTAACCAAAACAGGGATAGTCTCAAGATTTTTTTATTGCATGTCTCAAAAAAAGAGAAATGTCTCTGAGCTCAAAGTTCCCGAAATTGCCAGTGAAAGGTCAGTAATCACCCCATTGAAAGGTATAGTGGATTTCCTTGTAAGGCTTACGAATGGTGCTCACAGTTCCACTGGCCAGTTGGTGTCTTCTCACAGCATCGGAGCTTGACTCTGAGTCAAAAGCTCTAACGTGAGTTTACACTCATAATGGTTTTCTGGTATAGAAGGTCCAGCAATGATGAAAACAAATGCCTTTCTTGGCAAGTGGTTTAGTGATACATACTCAGGGGACTTAGGTGCTCTGTTTATAAGTACTGGAGGAATATACGTAGAATATTGTTCAAGGTGATAAATTGTAATCTGCCTTTATGACTATCTGGATATTTACATAATTAATTACATATTTAGTATATTTATTTTCTAGCATATTTTTTTACATGATCCTCTTATATAAGGGTGTTGCTATTTGTCTGACTCCAATATCACTGTTCTTTCTTTCCTAGAAGATACATATGAGCGAACACTGATTGTTGATGGGGAAAGTGCAACAATTATACTCCTGGACATGTGGGAAAATAAGGTAAGCAGAGCCCGAAGCTCTCTGTAAATTCCTGCGCGGTTTGCCTTCCAACAGGCTTTTGGGGATGAGGGTGACCTTGGCCTTCTTGGTGTTCCAGATGAGGTAGGCTCATTTTCTTGATTAAAAGCTTTTCTTTCTGAAGTATGAGGCTATTCTAAGGAACAGGTCATTCACAAATAAGCTTTGAATAATAAGTAAGTTGCAGCGATTTGCCCCTAGTTCTACTCAAAAATACGAAAAAGTATATTTGTTGTAGGGAAAGTGCCAACAAGAATGAATGGTAATTTTAAACTATATAAAACCACATTATATGAAGTTGACAGTCTCAATCCTAGCCTTCAACATTTGCTTTGTAAAGATTTTGGGCTTCTGTGCATATGATCATATGCTGGACTATCTGTTTGTTGAGAACATTCCTATTCTCACAGAGGATTCTTAATTTTATCACTTGGGAAGACAAAAGGGAGTTTTTTGGAAGTCAGAAAAGGCACATTTTTAGGAGCTTCGATAGAAAATGGAAATAATATTTGGTAGAGTCCTTGTCTAATTTATCAACTCAAGCTGTAGGAAGAATTGGACAATAAAACCTTTTTGGCATAAGTACCTTACGGGCCAGCAGTCTTTACAGCCACTGGACATCTTGCAGACATGGAAGAACAATGCATTTTGGGAGCTGGAATAAGTTTCCTTTCTTTCTTATATCAGCAAGGGTACTTTAGGATACATGTATTGTCTCTTTGCAAACTGACGCTTCATTTACCAGGCAACCTGTGCTCATGGAAGACCTTCTCATTTCATTAGGGGGAGAACGAGTGGCTCCAAGACCACTGCATGCAAGTTGGGGATGCCTACCTCATTGTCTACTCCATCACAGACCGAGCCAGCTTTGAGAAGGCCTCCGAGCTGCGAATCCAGCTCCGCAGGGCCCGGCAGACAGAGGACATCCCTATAATTTTGGTTGGCAACAAAAGTGACTTGGTGCGGTGCCGGGAAGTGTCTATTTCAGGTAAGAGGAGTGGTGCTAATACCTAGAAACAATCTCTGAGTCCCCTGCATTTTCTTTCACATGACTGTTCTTCCCTCCCTCTTCCATAAAGTTGGAACAACGGACTCATTCAAATGCTTTATGGTGTTTTACATACACTCTGAGACTCCTGTGTTCCCAGCTGATCACCTCTGCTGGGTGCTGCTCCCTTGTTCATCTGGTCTACGTGCGGGATTATAATCTCTCCCCACCCAAAGGTTTCCCTGGAATTCCTTTAGGGAAGATATCATACTCAGGGCTTTACTGGCAGTCTCAAACCTTTCTCCTGGCCCTTTCTGCTTTCCAGGGAGGTCTCAGGGGTTCAGAGAAGTAGAAATAGTATCCTCATGCAAGAATGAAGGGAATTCTTATTTAGGGGAACTGTCAGAAGGAGTTTCTCTGAGGATAAAAATTCTACTCAGGCTGCTCCTACCCTTTGCTTCCTTAATTTCAGCTAAGACATCTTTTATTGGGTTTGGTACAACGGGTAAAAATACAATATTGCATTGCAAGGTTCCGCTCAGGAGAAAAGAAACCTATTAAAGGTTTAATGGATACAACTTGTTTGGGAATGTCTTACTTTTAGGAAATGAGTGTCTACAGTAATCATTTTTTTCAAACTAAACCTTGGGCATATGCTCATTATACACAATGGAACATTTAAAATTTAGACTATTCCAGAAAAGCTTGCTTGTATGTTTGTATAGTTTGTTGTAACTGTTACCATATATTTGCAAATTCCTCAAAATTTTTTCAAAATATCTATTCAAAACTTCAAAAAAGTGTTGTTTTTTTTTTTTGAAGAGAGAAAGCCAAGTGGTAGGATTCTTATTTTCAGTATTTTCAGTTCAGGAAACTGAGTCAGGAGAAAGCTGAGAATGTGAGCTTGAGAATGAAGCAGGCCTGGATCCACATGTGCCACCCACAGGCCCTGTGAACTCCCTCGGGTTTTCAAAGACTGCCCTTCTCTCCACTGTCTTTATCTGAGAGGGACAATGTATTTTTTAAGGTTGTGAGTAGTAAAAAATATTTATAAAGCAGCCTCCAACACATAGTAAGTGCAATAAATGAAGGCTATAGTTTTCACTGTTACAGTACTATTTTGATGAGATGGGACCTTCATACAGTGAATTTGGTGGACCAGGTTTAAAGCCCACCTCTCCTGCTTCCAGGAATCTTCTTGTGAGACTCTTTGCTTCTGTTTATTCTATTTATGCCCTGGGAGGACATGTGGCACAGGGGCCTCCCATACTCATTGCATGTGTGACTCACTTAGAGTTACAGTGAGGGCCATTTAAAAGCATGAGTGTGGGATCATACTCTGCAGCCCTCCTAACTCTCTTCTTCCCCACTCCATCCCTGCAGAAGGGAGAGCGTGTGCGGTGGTGTTCGACTGCAAGTTCATTGAGACCTCTGCCGCTGTCCAGCACAACGTGAAGGAGCTCTTCGACGGCATTGTGCGACAGGTCCGCCTTCGGAGGGACAGTAAGGAGAAGAATGAGCGGCGACTGGCCTACCAGAAGAGGAGGGAGAGCATCCCCAGGAAAGCCAGGCGCTTCTGGGGCAAGATTGTGGCTAAAAACAACAAGAACATGGCCTTCAAGCTCAAGTCCAAATCCTGCCATGACCTCTCTGTGCTCTAGGCACCCAGAGTCACCCAGATGTCTCCCTGATGGACATCGTTGAAGGCCATTGGGACTGATAATCTATATTAGATTGGATCATTAAATATTGTTAGATGTGGCTCCCCCTAGTGCAGCTGTGAATTAATGCATTACCCTTATGGGCAAGAAAATGCATGGGAAATGAAAGATCTTTGTAGAGTCAGCATTTACAGGAAAAGACTGACCTTGCTACCTGAACACCCAAGACTCACTAGAGGATGTGTTTGGTGTTCACATGTGTTTCCCCTTCCCTTTGGATAGTAGAGGACTGAAGTGTATAAAAGAATGCTTAGATAAAGAACTTTACATTATTAAAAATTTCCCCAGTGTTTGGATATATGAATTTGAGGCCAATGGATCATAAACAAATGTAGTAATGTGTCATTCAAAGGAATGTTCAAAGGAGAGAGAACTTGTTTCTCTGTACCCTATATTCCTGGAGCTGGGACTGTGGAATTGGGCTCATCATGACTATTACTGCTCCATCAAGCTATGAAAAGAAATGGTGGACCTTGCTGGAAACTAAAGCTTGCAAACCATTTTTGTTCAGTGCCCACAGCTGTGGAAACAAAAATGTGTATCATTGGGAACTGATATATGTACCACTATTGGTTTCAAAAATCATGTCTTTACTTCTGTATCTTATATTTTTTTATTCAGGAAAATCAAGTTCAACTTAGTTAAACCACATTTTATGCTTCATTCTTTTTACAATCATAAGGCCATGATAAGAATATTTTTAAAATCTGGATTATTGATAATCTGGAATGTAAAAAGCCAAAACTTTAAATATAATCAAAGGTCTGAATTTTTATAAAACACAAAACATAAATACTTCCAGTACTTTGCGTTGACACTTGTATGCCACAGCTCTGCTCTATTTATTGTTATTTTGCAAAACAGTAACCATTTTAACATTTGATAAAACATATTTATGACATGTTTCTTAATAAGAAAAATGTCCATTTTATTACCATTTTCTATCTTTTTCAGAATATGCAAGTTTTTACCTATATGTCTTATAATAAAAGAAATAAAATTTTTGAAAAAAGGTGTTCTCAAATGTTTTCCCTCCCCAAACAAGATGATTATGATGACATATTTTGATAAAGCTTTTAGAATAAGCACATTCTAAAGAAATATACCTATCATTTTATTTCTTCTTTTCATTAGCAATAGCCCAGTGTTCATCTGTTTTAAAGAGTATCCTTGACATCTCTCCTTTTGGAACCATGAGTCACAGTAGTGCAAAGTCATTTTTGGCAGATATAGTTGGGAGGTACTGGTGGGTAGCCTAAATGCTAAGTTGCAGTAAAAGCCAGATTGATTTTTTTACTTTGGTCTGGCAAATTCCTGGCTGGACAGATGAGCCTTGCTTTGCTCCCTGAGGACTCATGATCCTACGCTTGACTAAAGCATTAGAGGAAATTATAGAGGATTAAGAGGGGGGAAAAAAGAGAAAGACACTGATCATTTTCAGCCTGAGATCTAGCCAGGCAAGGCTTTAACTAAATTCCCCTCTCTGATAGTATTATGGTTTGACATGAATCATGTGACATCTATCCAGTCGTGGTATGCAACCCTCTTGCTGCAGTGGAATCTGCTCTTATTCCCTTTGCACATCTCTGGCTCTTACATGTTCCCTCTCTCACTCTCACCTTATCTTCCTGAGTTTGTCATCAGACACACTAATAGTTATAATCATAGGGCTTTGCCTATTGGCTAAAGTGACAGTTTTAAAAAATGTCTCTGCTTGACTTTATTGGCCCTTTTTCCTCTCCCAAGCTGAGAGCAAGGGTTCCCATCCCTGTGCACTTTACATCATTCCCGGCCCCCCCCCCCCCCCCCCCCCCCGCCAAAGACTTCATTTATTTATTTTTAGAGAGAGGGGAAGGGAGGGAAAAAGGGAGAGAAACATCAATGCGTGGTTGCCTCTCATGTGCCCCCTACTGGGGAACCCAGGCATGTGCCCTGACTGAGAATCAAACCAGCAACCCTTTGGTTTGCAGGCTGGCACGCAATCCACTGAGTCACACCACCCAGGGTGCACTTTATATTTTTGAACTGCACAAGGAAATTGCACAGGGAAGTGATGAGGAATGATTCAGGTTACACAGGCCTGGTCTTGGCTGGGCCAATTAACATGAGTGTATCTTTGGAGTAGTTACAGATTAAACCTTTCTGGCCATCAGTTTTCTCACCCACAAAATGGGGTTGCTAATAACACTTATCTTTTAATCTACCATAATGTAAAGAGGTCGAGAGATGTCAGTTTTCATTGTTGCCTGTCTTCCATTGTGTATAAATTAGAGTCTGTCTCCCTCAATTGGAATGGAAGTCCTTAAAATCAGGGATCACTACTGATTTCCCATTTCATCTCTCTACTGTCTTCCTCTTCAGCACAGTGCCTTGCATCTATTAGGGCTTTTACAGTTTTTCATTGAGAAGAACCTTGGATAGGTTCTCTCAATGGGTCCATGATGGTGGTGGGCCATTTTACATCAAACCTATTAAAGAGGATAAACGACTTGTCCAAGTTTGTTCAGATGTTAAGAATCTGAGTCAGGATTAGGGTCCAGATGTGGCTCCAAGTCATTTGCATATTCAGTATACAAAACTGTTTCCTGTGGACACAGCCCTTTTAGTCCCATGGATTCCCACATACACTACACACACACATCATAGCACACACAAATCACAGGCATAGCACACACAAATCACAGGCATGTCACAACAACCACACAGCACACACACACAATGTACACATAACAAACAGCACACATATATCGCACATCAAGCACCACATACACTTACCCTACACATACACATTCTTTATCTACACTATTCTCCATTCTCATGGATTTGACCTTCCTCCTCTCTCATTTCAGGCCTTCCCAGTCAATGGCCAACAGTTCCCATGCTCTCCAAGCTTAAGGACAAGTTCAGGATGTTGCACAATGCTCCCTCAGCTTGAGCCAGGCCAGAACACCGCGGGTTGCGTTACAACCTGAGAGACTTTTTGGTTAAGAGCTATAGTTCTGGAGTCAGACAGACCTGGGTTTCAGTCTGGTTTCATCCCCTACTAGATGTGTGACCAAGAGTAACTTCCTTATCTTTTAGCCTCAGTTTCCCCATCTGTGACATGGTAATAACATAGTGCCCACTTCGCAGGGGTGTGGTGGGGATAATCTGTGACCTTAAATGTGGGTGTAGTCAGTTGAATTGTGTCCCCCCAACTCCAAAATTCATGTCCACCTCAAAACGTGACCTTAATTTGGAAATAAGTTCTTTGTAGATGTGATTAGTTAAGGATCCCAAGATAAAATCATTCTGGGTTTCGGGCGGGCCCTAAATCCCAGCAGCTGCGCTTTATAAGAGAATGGAGAGAGATTTGGACACAGAAGGGACATGTGGAGAAAAGCGTGCAAAGGCAGAGGCAAAGGTTGGAGTGATGCAGCTGCCAGCCCAGGACTGTCCTGGACACCTGGGACCAACAGCAGCTGAAGACTTTCAAGAAAGCATGGCTTGTAGACAGCTGATTTTAGATTTCTAGCCTCCAGAATTGCAAGAGAATACATTTCTGTTGTTTTAAACCACCAGGTTTATGGTGAGGTCAGGAGCCCTAGAAAATGAAATACATTAGGTTATTAACGGCGAGTTACTTAGCCTCTATAAGCCTCGATTTCTTTATCTGAAAAACAAGGATAATACCCATCTCAAAGGATTATAACGAGGATTAACTGTAAAGCGCTCAATTTATTCTAAGAGATGGAGAGCGAGTAAACCAGAAAATAAGTTGGAGAGCCACTGTAGAATACAGTGATTTGTAGGCTGAAAGTGCTGGATTTGCTTAAGAAGTCTTAGATATTTTCAAACAAGGGTGTGACAAATGGAGAGCTGCTGCTTCAGGACATCGTCCAGGAGAGTTGATCTGGCAGGACCGGGAAGGGATGAGGCCCCCCATGAGAAGACCAGTGGAAAAGCCACCAGAACACCTAGCCTAGTGCTCCGGGTAACACACCCGAGGCGGAGGGAAGGACGTCTACAATGGGGAAGCCACCCCTCAGGAAGTCCATTTGATCTGCTCATTGGACGTACAGAGTGCATATATGTGGCAGTGTTCAAAGTTTTGCACAAGGAGAATTCACAAAGCAAAGTGGCCTGAAGCCTCAACAGCCAGACAACAGTGCAAATGACAGAGAGACTGAGAGAAAGGCAGGAGAGCAGGCAGACCCCACTGTCAGCTGGGGCCCTGGTAACAAGATTACACTAGGATGAGGGTGTGGATTCCGACTTTGTGACTGCCTAGAAAGCAGCCACAAAACAGCAAGGGACCGTAACCATTAGTAACTGTCAGTCTAACTCCCGGGGAAAGAACGAAGTTAATGTTACACACCTGCTTTTCTTGTAATGTGGCTAGAGAAAAAGGTATGCAAACCAAGGACTTGAGGTTTTTAGCAAAGGACTACTGTAGTCTGCACAAGTGTCTCTGCATGTGCATGCGTGCATCCATGTGTGCGTGCATACAAGTGCCCACGTGTATGTGTGCTGGGGAGGGTTAGGGGTGGGAGAGAGAGGGCTTCCAATGAAAGGAAAAGTGAAGTTACTTCAATAATCAATTACACTGTCATCTTATCTGGTTCTACCTTCCAGTATATTCCAAAAATGGGGCTGCTGTCAGTGATCTGATTTATTTCAGTATCTACCAAGGACATGAAATATTTAAGCGGCACATACCTTTCTGCCACACAAGACAATTGGTAACTTAAGTTTGCTGGGCTTGTGGTCAAGTAAGTCAAAATAAAGTGTGCTGGTGTCTTCTGTTTTACTGAAATTTTTAATCGCTGGCTTTGAAGTTTATAAAAAAATCAAAATGCAGGAGGACTGAGAGTACTTTCCCTAGTATCATCCAGAGGTCCCAAGGGAGTTGTTTGGCCTGGAGAAACCTGGCTGCCTTTTGGGTAATTCGAAACAGTTTTGGAGGGCACTTTCTTGACAGCTATTGGGTTGGCCCAAAAGTTCATCTGGTGTTTACTGTACAGTGGCTCTAACAGCACTTAGTTGCCTTTAACTTCATTTGATATAATTTTGTTAGATTGTATTGTGACAGTTGTCATATCAGTGTACATTTAAAAAAAAACTGACCAAAATTGATTAATTTTTCTGTAGCCATTTTAATATTGAAGATGGAAGAAAATATGCAACATTTTCAGCATATTATGCTTTATTATTTCAAGAAAGGTGAAAATGTCACTGAAATGCAAAAAAAGGTCTGTGCAGTGTTTGGAGAAGGTGCTGTGATTGATAGAAGGTGTCAAAAGTGGTTTGCAAAGTTTTGTGCCAGAGATTTCTCTCTGGATGATGCTCCAGGGTTGGGAAGACCAGTTCAAATTGAAAGTGATCAAACTGAGACATTAATTGAGAACCGTCAACATTATACCACGTGGGAGATAGCTGACATACTCAAAATATCCAAATCAATAAAATTATTGGTGAAAATGAAAAAGTGTGTCTTTTATTTCATGAGAAAAACCATAAGGACTTTTTGGCCAACCCAATATTTGCAATTTTATATATGGACACACACACAGGTACATATATATATACACATACACACCTATACTTACATATATACTATGTGTGCACACATACTTATGTTTACACTGGCCTCATTAATAGGCAGGAAACAATTGAAAAGATGGCAGGTGTTTTAAGATAAATATCTGATGTAGGAATTATAGTCCTCACTTGAGTGTTGACATAGGACACCTAATCAGGAGTATCCACAGACAAAAAACAAGGGCAAGTATGTGAATGTCGGAAACTGGGCAAGACGCAGAGCTGTGAGCAGTGTAGCATAAC